GCCCTTCCCCTGTTTCCCTCTTATTCCTCTTCTTTCTTTCCCTTTCCCTTCTCTCTCTCTCTCTCTCTCTCTTATTTATTTTTTTGGCGGGGGGGGGGGAGGTAAGAGCCTTTCGCCCTTTCCCCGTTTCCCTCTTTCCTTCTTCCTCTTCTTTCTTTCCTTTTATATTTTCTTTCCCTTTCCCTTTCCCTTTTCTCTCTCCTTATTTATTTTTTGGCGGGGGGGGAGTGAGGAGGAGGCAAGAGCCCTTCGCCCCCCCCCCCCGTTTCCCTCTTTTCTTCTTATTATTCTTTCTTTCCTTTTATCTTCTCTTTCCCTTTCCCTTTTTCCCTTCTCTCTGTCTCCCCCAGCTAGGGCTGGTTTTGTTTACGAAGCGCCCGTCAGGAGAGTACACGATAGAGTACACGATAGAGTACACGATAAAATTGACGATATCGTGAACTTTATATCGTGAACTTTTCACGATAAAATTCACGATATCGTCAATTTCATCGTGAAAAGTTCACGATAAAGTTCACTATATCGTCAATTTCGTGAATTTCTTCGTGAAAAATAAAATATGCGATAAAATTGACGATATCGTGAATTTTATCGCATATTTTTCACGATTTAGTCTATTTCGCGATGTCCCTTCAGGGCCACCATAAATATAGATTACGGGATTCCCCAAGGATCTATGTTTGACCCGATGTTTATAATTTACATTGGTGAAATTGTAAAACATATAAAGAAATGCTCTGTTCACTTATATGCTGATGAAACAGTAATTATTTGTCTCTCACACAGAAACGTCCTCAACTTTAGAGTCCGTATTAAATTCTGAACTTCATAGAATATTTAATTGGTTGTGTAACTCCAAATTGAGCCTCAATTGTGAGAAAACAGTAAGCATGTTATTTTGCTCAAACGGAATGTTTACTAAATGTAGCAAGCTGAACTTGAATGTAAATGGGTAAATATATGTCATGTTTAATGTACGAAGTATCTAGGTATGTTGTTAGATCCGAGTTTAAATTGGAATTTGCATATTGATGCCATGTGTTCTAGGATAAGTAATCTCATACGCGTATTAGTTCGATTGCGTCATATCATTGATCTATCTAGTATGAAAATGATGTTTTCTGCCATTTTTCTTCCTATTTTTGACTATGGTGATATAATATATGGAACAGCCTGTGCTAAACATGTCAACTGTTTACAGAAACTTCAAAACAGGGCATTTCGAATCATATTTGGAATAAGTCCCTGCAGTCATTTAATCAGGGAATTACATGCTCGATTAGGCTGGAAATCTTTAACAACTAGACAAGGCCTTCTGGCGCTTGCGGTCAATCGGAGTGGCGCGCGGCTTTTCCAAGAAATTAATAAAAAATAATTAAAAATTAAAAATTAAAAATTAAAGAAAGAAGAAAAATTAAAAATTATATTTTAAAATTAAAAAACTCAGCAATATCAAAAAGTCGCAGTCGAAGTTGAGCCCAAAATGTAAGCAAGCCATTTTGTTTGTTTGATTTTCACTTGATTTTGACATTTTTGTGTTTATTGCACCAAAATAACTACATATAAATTAACTTCCAGTGTAGATTTTAGCAAGGAATTGTACTGATTATTTCACATCAATATGAATTATGATTGATGTTTTATTGAACAAAAAGGTGTTAAAAATGCCACATCTGGGCCTTAAAAAAGCCCTAAAATCCACTAGCTTCCGGGGGCTTCGCCCCCTTGGACCACATCCAGAATCGGCTCGGTCGCTACGCTCCCTCGCAACACAGTCACCAAACATAAGGTTGGCACTTCAAACTCAATACATTTTTGTTTTGGCACTTCTAATGAACTAGTTGAGAAGGCCTGCTCTAATGTCTCATCAAAACCTATTATTGGCAAAACCCATAACAGATTATTGTAAACGTATTTTCTCTTACAGAGGTGCTATTCAATTCAATAATGTTTCATATTTTTAGTCACGTGTTTCTCACGACGCAATATGTATATAAAATCATAACAATAATATTGGACCCCATGAAAGAACAGTCTTGTATTTTTGGCTGGAATGAACTGGGTAACCTTCTTACTTCATTATTGTCTTCTTCTTCCCAGATGTGGGATTTTTAACACCTTTTTGTTCCATAAAACATCAATCATAAATGGCTTGCTTTCTTCCGGGGGGGGCACAAAATGACATGGGGTGAAATCAATGGCGTACGCAGGATTTTGTCAAGGGGGGGGGGGTTAACAAATTTAAGTCGGGCCGAAAATTTCGCAACGACTCAGCCGGCCGCTGAATATGCAAGGGTGGGGGGGGGGGGGGGGGGGGGGGGGGGGGGGGGGGGGGGGGGGGGTAAGAGCACATTATTTTTGTTTTGCTCCCGAAAATTTAGAGAATAAATAAATCATAAACAAATCCTCTGTGTGCCCATACCTTGAGCCCTAATGCATGGCCGTCCAAAGGATTTGTAATGTTTGGGACCAGGGAAAAATGTAATAAATTATTGAAAATTTATTGCATTTTCTGTTTTTTTTTAATGGAAACTGCCTCCTACCCTAGCCCCCCCCCCCCCTAGCTGCGCACAGTCACGGTTCAGTAACAAAGCATTGGCCTCGTAACTGTGAGGCCCAAGGATCAAAACCGTGTCGATGTGCTATATTAGTGCCCTTTCGTGGGGCATTAATCCTCATTATAATGTTATTTATGACTTAAGGGCGTAGGTCCCCTAGTTGATAAGCATAGTAGCATACACATGCTTTAGCAGTCACGCAAAACACACATTGGCTATTTATTATTCAATAACATCTGAGAATGTATACTTTTATCTAGATCTATTATTTTTGAATTATTTTTAAAATAATTCCATATATTGGGGTAAAACAAAAATATTCCAACTATATGAGCGACAGTGTATATCAAATGATAGAACGGCAAAGTAATGTGCAGGCTAAAGGCCTTATATTTATGACTTAAGGGCTTAGGTCCCCTGGTTGATAAGCATAGTAGCATACACATGCTTTAGCAGTCACGCAAAACACACATTGGCAAATTATTATTCAATAACATCTGAGAATGTATACTACTATCTAGATCTATTATTTTTGAATTATTTTTAAAATAATTCCATATATTGGGGTAAAACAAAAATATTCCAACTATATGAGCGACAGTGTATATCAAATGATAGAACGGCAAACTAATGTGCAGGCTAAAGGCATCTCTAACCCCCCCCCCCCCCCCCCCCTCAGCGCAGCAAAATTATGCTCATACGCGCGCCCATGCGTACAGCAGTTATCAGCAATGGTCATGATGTATAATGATGAGCATATCATCTATACAATCCCTTAATTTGTGTAAATCTAGTACATGTTTTTCACTTTAAAATGCCTAAAGATTAGACTTGGCGAAATGAATGATTTAACAAGCACGTGATTGTAATATGTGCGCAGGTAGTGATTGACGTCAAAATACTAGATATTGAACATATCTGGGATACGGTGCATATTCATCACGTGTCAACTGATGGGATGACTGCTACGAATCTCTCATTGGCTAGCAGTTCTGTGACGTCACTTATTCTACCGGGAGGATCTACGGTGGTCAGCTTCTGTAGTGACGTCATTGAGCAGCGCCAGGGCTTTGTCATGGAGTTTACGTCATACGATATAGATACCAATGGTAAGAGCACGGGTGCATATCTTTTGAATGATTAAAATACGTACTGGAAATGAAAGCTTGTAGCCGGTAGTATATTTACAGGGGCACTAGGCTAGTTCCCTCACATCAAAAGACGACAAAAAGATAAAGTAAGGGAAGGGGAGTTGACATGAACAAGATATTTTACCAGCTTCTTCCACACCTTATACCTCAATCGATTACCTTGTAATATGATATGTTATTCATGAAGTAAGTCTGGTAGCGCTGCCCCCCCCCCCCCCAATTTAACCAGTGCCCCCCTCAATGGGTGGGACAAAAAATAAAACAAAACAAAGTGTTTTTTAAAAGTGATACTTTTAGTAATAATTATGAATAAATGAAAACTAAATAGGTTGAGCTGAACGCCAGGGGTGTAGTGTTGGTCCATATATTGAGGAGCGAGGACCACGATTAATCTGACCTTTGATTAGGAAGTAGCTATAGAGTGTCTACTTTTCATCTGCCCTTCCCCTTTCCCCGTTTTCCCGGTTCCTTCTCTTTTCTTTCCGTTCAATTAGGGGTACGAAGTCCTTATTGCTCTTCCCCCCCCCCCCCCCCCCAACGGCCTGGTTCACTACTGCTGAGTACAAAAAAATTAAATTATCACGTATACCATGGACTTAATACAGATGGACATTCAACGTGATTCTTTCTTTGATCCAATCATAGTCGCCGCCTTCTAATTATGTGCATCTTAATGAGAACATTCAGCTGTTTTAACAATAACGACTGCGTAAGCATTTTCGGTCATTTACAAAGGAGCAGTTTCCCTCTCTTGGGTTTTGTTTGGATGGTGTGCTCTGTAAGAGTGTGTCTTAAATAAAAGCATCCTCAATGGGGAGCAGCAAAGTTGAAAAGCAGACGATTTTGGTGATATCAAATGTATTATTACTGATTCGCAAACTTTCGCACACACCTATGACCTTATAAAACAATTAGAAGGCCATGATCTGTATCAGCCCTGTGCGTTGTAACTCTGGAATATTATGAGGAAATAGGGGGAAACGGGATTTTAAATCACAACCAAAAAATCCAAAAATAACCTCTATCTGGTAATATCAACATGTTTTTCCAAAAAAATACATGTACAGTACACGGAACAACAATCTCCGATTATAAGCCAGAACTGCACATCTATTTTCCTTGATTTAGGCGAGTAATTATCTTCTGCGCATGTAGATTTACATGTATAAAATCTTGATTCTGTCCCGGCTTTTTGCCGGCGACCATGATGAGACCAAAGGGAAGAAACATGTACGGAATGTTATTGAGACGACATTGACGGAGACAATCACAATGAATTCGTTAAGAAAACGATGAATGTCCATCCGTAATACGTCCATGCGTATACGTACGGGTTTATTGTTTGTTTGACCTGACTGTTGATAAAACATGTGTTTGCTTGTAAATAAGCAACCAGGGGACCAACGGCTTTGAGATCTCTCCAAGTGACTTGATAATGAGGATTAACGCCTTTTCAAAGGGCACTAGCATATCGACTTCGTTTCGAATCCGGGACATCCCGGTTACGAGACCATTGCTCAACCACTAAGCCATCGCGCCTGCACAAAAAGACATGATCAATGTATTATCTACATGTACTAGTATTTCCGTTCGTGCTTGGTTATATCTATAGAAACATCAATGGTTGACACAACGGGAGAGGATTTCTACTGTCACTCTGGTCATCAATACATCCGGGTCAGTGCAAGATGTGATGGGATTGTTGACTGCCCTGACTTCTCAGATGAAATTGGATGTGACGGTATTTATGGAAAACTCTTTCTAAAATAAAGAAGGGATATTGTTCGAGAAATATAGTTGTCAAACAACAGTTAAATAACAGCGTGTATTTTATTTATATGTGTTCTATATCTATTTAGTTCTTATGCTTATGTTTCGGCATCATGCATACATAATGAGTTTGAACACAAGTCATGATCAGATAATGATTCTGGGTCCAACAAAGAAATCGAAAACTTGGTAAACCCATGGAAAATGAAATTTCTTTCAGGTCATAATTTGTTTTCATTAGATTAAACATTTGTAAACATTTTGAAAACATAAATGATGTGAAGGATGAAAAAGTTCGCCTTTAAACAAGACTAGTATGCGTGGATATTTTGTTAACCCTTTTATAAACTGTGCCAAAAAATCAGTTTGTGCAAGAAAATTATTAGGTAAGGGTGGACAAAATAAAGAAGAGAAATAAAGTAAAATAGGACTATTCAGAGTTGTGTTAAGGCAATTTTGAATGAAGGGGAATTTGACAAATTAGGGGGTGGGAGGGGGGGGGGTACTTAAAATTGTTGCATTTGCAGGATTAAACAAATACCAACATCAATCCTACCGTGACTTAGTGATCCTAATTTCACCACGCTTCTGTTTTCTTTCCTCTTTCTCTGTAATAATACCCAGAATGCAGTCCCGGTGCATACCAATGCAACGGAATTGATATTTGCCTCCTTCCCAGATTGCAATGCGATGGAAGGATTGATTGCCCACACGAAGACGATGAGATGTTTTGTGGTAAGAAGTTAATACACAATGGCCTGCATTCTGCTCAAATTTAAACCCATTGCAGGGTCTATATTCGTGTCTTACCAAAGGAAGTTATACAAATGCCTATTTTTTCCTATATTGAAACATGACGATTTAACCTAATAAAAAGAATGTGGAAAACTGACTCTTTCATTTTTGGCCTAGAGTTGGGGTTCGAAGAAGTCATGATTTTTCAAGGTAAACTTTTTTTTTTTTTTTTTTTTTTTTTTTTTAGGCGGGGGGGGGGGGGGGTCATTATATGGCTTTACGCTGTAAGTCAAAAATAATAAAATTAATAATACCTGTTTTGTAATTCTTTTTTGTAATCGTTTCTATTCTCCATTTTTATAGTACCACTCATATATATCTATATACAGAGATACTGCGTTGCCCGGCTAATTGTTCTTGCGGCGAGTCTCAGGAGTACGTCGGGAGCCCTCGTCTCACTGCACCAAGTGCACCTCGCTGCGGCGAACCCGACTGGTTGCCTTTTTGGGTGAAATGCACGGACGGCTGGAATGAAGGCTACGCGAATGCAACAGCGCCAAAGGCTATAATTATGTAAATGAAGTAGAATAAAAACGATGGCAAAGACTTTTCAAGAAATGAAATTAAAGGCAATTTGATTACCCTCCTGTATATTGCCTTCAGAAATCAAGGTCGGATCGAGTAATATGATTATGTCATTGGCACATTTCAAGGTAATAGATGAGGCTATTAAAGTTGACTTTGAGTGACTTTTCGGAAGTCTTTGTGATCGTGGGATTGAAGGAATTGTAGGGATAAACAATCATGTATGGAGGGGGTAGAGACAGAGAGAGATAGTGTGTGCGTGTATGTGTGTGGGTCGATGCGCGCGTGTGTGTGTGTGTGTGTGTGTGTGTTTGTGCGCTCGTGTTTATGTGTGTAAGAGAGAGACAGACAGACGCAGAGAAAGTGAGCGAGAAAAGAAAAAGAAACTAGACATATAATACTTGTTTGGAACAAGTATAGGTGGGCTTGTCAACTAATATTTGACACAAAATAGAGCAAAAATAAGCGAGATACTGTTAAAAAACAATGTCATGTAGATTAATGATGTGAACGAAATTCACCTTCCTCAGGCATAACACGCAACTTAGAAATTTATGATATGTGCCCTTTAATCGTAATTTTCACTATGATGACGTGATCAAAATGAAAAATGGTGATAACTGAGCTTGTAGAGAATTGTCTTAGCTACAACATATCGAAATTTGGAAGAAAATCGATCAACATTTACAGAGATACAATCAATTTTACATAAATATGCTGACTTCATAATATGCAAGTTCGTATTGTATTGTATTGTATTTATTCAGACAAGCATGTCTAGGGATGCAGAAAAGGGTTTGAAAAACCCGTACAAGTCTGCATCCCTGATAAAAAGCAAAGTTCACAAATATTATTATTGCATAACATAGTTACAACAAAAAAAATGATATCAAACACGATAATACATCAAATAATTATATACACAATGTAGTTTAGAGCGAAAATAAATACATAAAATATTATTGATTGCAAAACAGCATTATTGAATATACAAATGATTGGGTATTTCAGGGATCAAAATGCTACATAAAAAATTTTGCAGCATGATCTAAGGTAAAAATTAAAATATAGTTGATATTGCGCGAATTTGGATGTAATTGTATAAAAATGTAAAAACAAAATGTTATTGCGGAGTTTAAAAAGTTAAATATGTAAGCAACTTTTTAATGATATTTTGAAAGTTGAAAGAGATGGACTATTAATAACATTACTTGGGAGCATGTTCCACTCATTGGCAGTTCTTATATAAAAAGAGTTTTTGAAATAATCTGTTTTTGCAAATGGTACGTACATTTTCATATTATGATCATTACGTATTTTGAGTTCCAAGGCCATTATGATGATGTCACGATACACTTAATGGCCAAATGAGACATGGAATCATATCTCCGACTCATATATAATTATGAAAAAAATTGAAGGTCACTGTGCATTCCAAAGAGCTATAATGAATTTTGTATAGGCATGTTTTTGCCTATATATGCTATGTATTAAAAGAGCTCGCGCGCACAGACATTTATCTTGAATTGAAGCTCATCTTGTTATTAATGGTCATAAAGAGATAAACATGGTATCAAATTCCTCGAAAAAATATGAGAAATATCATGAAAGAAAAAAAAATGGCGATTCTATGTTTTGTAATAGTGTTACGCGTGAAAACGCGCGCGCATGCGCAGGTGTGCGATTTTTTATAAAATGCTTAAAATGACCTGAGACGTTTTTGAGCATTTTGAAATTTTGCGCACGCGTGCGTTTTTTGAGCTGAAATTGACCGGACCGATATTGACCTTGATCGTGCAAAATATGAATAAGAAATTACTTTCCGTTATGAAGATATGATCATAAGTTAAAATTCACAAAATGGCGCCTAGATGACGTAATCAGTCAAGGTCAAGGTTGAAAACGTTATTTTGATTTATTTATATGCCTATACATATGTGTGCCAAATTTATCAAGTTATTTGATTGAACCATTTCAAAGTTATCTTGCTAACAAAAAAGTGGGTCGAAATAAGAAAAATAAACTAGATTTGTAATACTTGTTTGGAACAAGTATAGGTGGGCTGATCCAACAAAAAATTGAGACAAAATATAAGGTACATTTGAAATAGCTTTTTGCCTCAGCTACAACATACTCGAAGTTCAGCGTAAATGAAGCTAAAACGACGTAGATATTGCTCGCGAAAGACGGGAATGTAGAATCGAGTTTTGAGAAAAAATCATGTCCCATAGAGAATCCGCAAAATGTGAAAATTGACATGCCTCCTTTAATCACAAAAATACGCCATGATGCTTTTTTCAAAATTAACATTGTGATTACTTCATTTGTAGAAAATTGTCTCAGCTAGAACATTTCAAGATTTGGAAGAAAATCAATCACTATTTACAGAGATACAATCAATTTTCCATAAATATGCTGAGGTCATAATATGGAAATTGAAATTTTGAGCTCGGAGGCCATTATGATGACGTCATGAGTTAATTGAAGGTCAAATGTGACATGAAACAATATCTCCGAATCATACTCTATCAAAAGATGAAAACAAATTGGGGTCACCTTGCATCCTAAAGAGCTACAATGGATTTTGTATAGGCATATTTTTGCCCATATATGCTATGTATTACAAGAGCTCGCGCGCACGGAGATTTATGTTAAACGGTCGATCATTTTGTTATTAATAGTCATAAAGAGACAAACATGGTATCAATTTGTTTGTAATATATGTGGAATATTATAAAAGAAAAAAATGGCGATTCCATGTTGTGTATTTAATACTTTTACGCGCGAAAATGCGCGCGCATGCGCGTGTGAGCGATTTTTTATAAAATGCTTAGAATGGCCTAAGACGTATGCAAAATGATTTTGAGACGATTTTGAGCATTTTAAAATTTTGCGCGCGCATTGAAGCGCGGACGTACGCGCACGCGCGCATTATTTGAGCTGAAATTAACCGGACGGATATTGACCTTAATCATGATAAATATGAATGAGAATTACCTTTTGATTATGAAGATATGATCATGAGTTGATTTTCGTAAAATCTTACAATATGGCGTCTAGATGACGTCATCAGTCTAGTTCTAGGTTGAAACAAATTCTCTGCTTTGTTCATATGTCTTTACATATATGTGCCAAATTTCAAGGATTTTGATTAAGCCATTTTCGTGTTATCTTGTTCACAAAAAAGTGGTTAGAAATAAGAAAAATACTTAATAAATAATAAATAATAAATAAATAAAGGCAATTCTAACGAAATTATGAGGTGGTCTGTACGATATACAGCCCACCTGATAAATAATAAATAATAATAAAGGCAATTTTAACAAAATTATAAGGTGGTCTGTATTAGATACAGCCCACCTGATAAAGAGGGAGAGGGAGAGAAGTGACAAGAAATGAAGAAGAGGGGACAGGCATCGCAACGTATACATCAAATAAACAGTCATAGAATGCTAGTAAAGTTTAAGAAAACAATTTCTTATTTTTATTTGTTCATCGATATGTCTGTATGAAATGTTTTTGAAAGGTCTCCTGTAGATGACAAAAATTATCTCACTTCTTTCCTCATCACTCAAACATTATTTTGACTGAGTTTGACCGTCCCTCTTCTTGAACATTTAATACTAATTATTGTTATTAATCATTAATATTATTGTTATTATTATCATATATTTATTGCAGAAATCTTGATGGCGCCCCCGTCCGTCATCTGATGAAGGGCGCTTTCTCAGGACTCAACAATGCCCATACACTGTAAGTTTGTTCGTTTGTTTGTTATCATTATCGTTATTACTACATATATTATTATAATTATTAGAATCTGAACTTGGTATATTCCAGATTATTAAAAAAAATCGTAATACACCAAGCAGTGCTACACTTTAATGTATTCACAAATATCTTTGACTCAGATTTTGACTCAGGTAGTTAGTGTTCAGATGTTAGTGACCACTCACCCATTTTTCTAGTCTCTAAAAGCTCTAATATAAATACTTATCAACGTGGCTCAATTCGCTTTACTCGTAAATACTCAGATGATAATATAAGACATTTTCAATATGATCTTTATCATGAAGAGTGGACTAATCTTCATGATATGGAAATGCTAATGACGCATATTCCTTTGTTATTAACCGTTTTACTCAAATTTCTAACTAAAATTGTCCTTTGTCAAAAACTACACATAATAAAAAGAGACATGAAAAAACCTTTGATAACAAAGTATTTATTGAGATGTATAAAGAAGAAAAATCTTTATTATAAACACTTTCTCTAAAACAATACAGTGGATAATGAAAGAAAATACAAAAAATATAGAAATAAATTGAATAATCTGTTAAAGCATGCGAAAAATCATATTCTTTAAACAGATTAAAGGCATTTAAAAATGATACTGAACTGACTTGGTCAGTTATAAACTCATTACTAAATAAGCCTACATTTTGTTTACCTGAGTACTTTTTTAATGGAACTAAAAAGGATTGTGATCCACAACATATAGCATCTGAATTCAATCAAAATTTTATAAGCTGTTGCAGACGGATAACCACATGAATGGTCAGTTTCTCCTAACGATACTTCTACTTAGGAGCATCTAACTGGTTTTATCAACGATTCTATTTCTTTTAATATTTCTTCTATTTCTTCCTATAACAGAAAATAAAGTTATACAGATTAGTAATTCACTACAAAACAGTAATTCTGTTGGATTCGATAATCTTAGTACTAACTTAATGAAGAAGAAAAATATTTTGTATTGTACAGCCAGGAGTATTTATGTTTAATCTCTCTCTTTCTACAGGCTTAGTCCCAGATGAATTAAAAATAGCTGAACTAATCCCTGAATTTAAAAAAGATGACCTTTATAACTTTGATAATTATAGGCCCACATTTATATCAAAGTTGTTAGAAAAATATGTCTATAACCGATTATATTGTTTTAACACCAAAATTCTCACGGACTCCCAATATGGCTTTAGGAAAAATCACTCT